CGCGCGCGCACACACACACACACACACACACACACACACACACACACACGCACGCACGCACGCACGCACGCACGCACGCACGCACGCACGCACGCACGCACGCACGCACGCACACACACACACACATGCACACACACGACGTGTGCAATTACACGCGCGTGTATAGCCACACACGTCACGGTATAGCAGCACACACGTCACGTTACACGCGCGTGTATAGCAGCACACACGTCACGTTACACGCGCGTGTATAGCAGACGCGCGTGTAACGTGACGTGTGTGCTGCTATACACGCGCGTGTAACGTGACGTGTGTGCTGCTATACACGCGCGTGTAACGTGACGTGTGTGCTATACACGCGCGTGTATAGCCGTGACGTGTGTGCTGCTATACACGCGCGTGTAACGTGATATGCGTGTTATACACGCGCGTGTAACGTGACGTGTACGGATTCCCACCGCGGCAGACGAATCACCACATGAACAATTCGTACGACGTAGCGCCGCCTTGTCACGGCCTGTATGTCATCATTACACGGTCGGCATCTACAGCAGCAGCGGCGGCGGCGGCGGCAGCAGCTGCCTCAGTATGGAAGCCATGTCTAGCGGGCGGGATGAGGATAGCAGTGCGACCATGAGCATCAACATCAAGGCGGGTGCCGTTCAGCTGCCGTTTTTGTGCGGTTAGGTTTCTCGAACGGTCTTTTTCGTATTAATCATATCCTAAAGCAATTTCCGTCGTGTTCCGTGCACATGTACAGCTGTGTATATGCAGTGGCGCCAGGTGTGTGCGAGTCGTCGTGCGCGTGTGCGTTTTAGGCATATAATAACTCCCTATCTCTCTAGTAAAAGCAATCCAATTTTTCAATAAAATACGCGCACTACCATTTACATTATATATTATACTCGTTCAGATTTACAATTCATTCGCAAAATATCTCACGTTTCCCGTTAGGATAGAAACCGTACGAGGAAATATCGGCGCGCTGTGAATTGTTTATCTTTACAGATGGAAAATTGCTACGTGCCAAATAATATCAACTACGGCACGGACCTGTGGCGTTCGTCCGTGCATCATCCTCAGCTAAAGAGTCTGAATGTCGGCGGCAGTTATTACCAGCATCCGAGTCAGACAAGTGTCGATCTTGGCTTCAATGGATTTCAACTATCGCCGCTCGAAATCGAGGCATCTTCGCTGGGAAATTTATATTCACTGTCGACACCTGGATTCAAGTACGTGGCACGTAGATAATATGTATTATAGCAAGCACACACACACACACACACACACACACACACACACACACACACACACACACACACACACACACACACAATATATATATTATATATTATATATATATATATTATGTTGGAACGCTGCGATGATTAACTCTACTCATTCACAAAACTATATTTAGATATATAACGAGGGCTCCCACACACGCACTTCGCGCGCACACACATACGCACAAACACGCACGGCAGCACACGCCGCACTCGTAATCACGACCATCACACGACGCACTCATGCACACGTGCACGCGCGGCGCCACACACACACACACACACACACACAACACACAACACACACACACACACACACACGCAACACACACAGTGACACCACACACACACACACACCACACACGCACGGCACGCACGGCACGCACGCACGCAGCACGACCCGCAAGCAGCCGCACGCACGCAGGGACGCTCCATATGGATATATTCTTGGAATAACAACGCTCTACCACGCACCATTGCAGACGCCGCGCGCGCATAAACACACAGCGAGAGGATCCGATTCGGCACATATGACGAATGCCAGCAAACAACGGCCTTACGTATTAACTGCGCCGTGAGTTACCTGTTTGTGCTGAATTTCGCGCCGTATTCGCGCGAACACCGTCTCTCTCTTCTTCATAAATACCTGCGCAAAACACGCCGCCGACATTTCATGCTCGGCCGCCACCACCGTGAGCGCGGATGCGTTACGCTGAAATATAGTGTGAATTCATAGCGGGGGCGGAGGTGAGGCCGCGGCGGTGAGTTCCCTTAATCGCTTGCGAGCCCTGCCGAAAACGCTTCAATTAGATTGGCGCCGTGGGTACACGGTAGGCCCACGGGTTCTAGTGGGACGCCAACCCGGCGGCAGGCTACTGCGTCACGCTAACCTGTGATCGACCCGTCGCAGCTTATCAAGGCCGACGAGTAGCGGGAATACGGTATTGGCATATTTAAAATGCCGGTGGCGCGATTCCCAGCTTACGATGGAATCCAGAGATATTTCCGTTTTTAATTGCGGAGGAATATCTTCATTATCTTCTATTACGGTCCAGGGGTGTGGTTAAATGTGGGTATTTTGACAATTTTTGGGTTCAACGGAATTTGTTGGCGGAAAAGGTTTTCGCACTTGCGGCGATTACATTGCGCGTAACATATACGCATAAAGATACGCATAACTACAAATAATAAGACATATTAACGGATAAACGATTGTGTTTTGATGATTAATACTAAGCGCATGATCGACATTCCAGTAACCGGTTACGCGATTTTATTGTTTTTACGTCAAATTGCTTTATTGTTTATATATTATAATATTTATTATAATATAAATATATATATTGCCGCGTGCGCAGTGCAGTGTCTGCGCTGCGCGTTTGTGTCTATTATGTATTATATCAGTTCGATCTTTATTTATTATTTTAATGTGAAACAAATCATAAATGTCCCATTGACGCTCACTTTATAGGTCAGTGACAAGGTGCATAAGCAGTGATTCGAATGATCGAAGCTCTGTCGAATCCACACGTGTATATAGCTAGAGTGCTTCGGCGCCTATCCGTATTGGAGGCGGTCAGGCCTCCGCCTACATTGCTCGGAAATACACATGACATTCCTACTTTTCTTTACATTTTCGCCGTTTGAATCGAACTAACGCGCCGCCGTAAAGTTGCGCTTCCGTTTTATTTGCCAATAATAATGGCCAAAAAATCTCTAATAGCAACAATAAGTACAAGCTTAATAGTTAAACTGATTGAATCCCGTAAATGCCGCAGTCTGTCACCCCCCCGCCCACAACCACGCGCGCTTGGTCGAGCGTTGTCGGCATAAACCGTCTACAGTTTGATGACAAACCGTGAGGCTGTAATTGGACACGGTCAAACGGGGTGCATCAGGAACCCGTTCCCCCACCCCACCACCACCCGACCCCCGCCGACCGCCACCCTCACCCCCCGCTGCGCTCCCAGACTGCAAGCCAGACGGACCGCATGCTCGGCTGGAAAATGCGCGCCTTGTTTATCAGACCGGCGTCTTTAAGAATCCTCACCGGGCTGCCGACGGTACACCACCACCGGTGACCGGTGTCCGGCCGATGCTTTGTTTTGGCTCGCCGCGGGTGGCGCTGTCGACTAATCAGGCGTAATTACCCGCTAATTTGGCAATTTGCTGGGATTTGTTTGGCCTTAGGCGTTGTCCGGGGTGCTTTTGTTGTTCGGCACGTATATTGGTCGCTGATGAATCCACGCGCCTGCGCGCTTACGTACTTTGCTTGCGACGGCGAGAGGTCGTATTTGTCTACGTAACTAGCGCGAAAATAAATAGTTAGTCGAAATCAATTAGGGACACGGACGATAGGGTTACGCGGTGAACAGTCGTGTGACGCGGACGCTGTGCAATAAATAAAGGGAGAAATAGGGAAACACATTATTTAAATGCGTTATAAATAATTAAGTAAATAAATAATAAATAAAAATATAGATTAAATTAAATGAAACAAGTAAAGAAGAGAAATAAATAATCGAATACATATATTGTATATATTATTGTACGTATAAGCATAGACTGTATTTCCTCTGTCTGTACGCATCAATCTATTAAAAATAAATAACTGGAAACTAGTAAGATAACGAATGAATTTTAACGACGCGATCTTCAATGTTATTTATTCACAGTATACGTAGTGCATAGCCAGTTTTACTTACTGTTGTTCTCCAGTTTCTTTATATTTATATATGATATACTATATATATAGTATATATATATATTAACTATATTATACGAGATTCGCATGATTGCAGGACTCTAGCGGATTTTCTGTATATATATAATTATTATATATATATTATATATATATATCAATATACAGTAAAATCCGCGCTAGAGCCTGCAATCATTGCGAACTCGTATATTCATATATGTTATTTATTAATTAAACAATACGCAGTGCATTAGCAGTTTTTACATTACTGTTGTCACTCAACCTATGTTACTTATATTATATATATAATATATATTATACTATATCAGTAGAATCCCGCTATAACCCACCAATAATGCGACGTAAATCGAATAACTCGTTAAAACTTTTTAATTCGCCGCTGCAAGGCGACCTCACATTTTTTTAATACTGCGATCGACGTTTCTTGACAGGGAATTCCAGCGTCGATGTTCAAGATCGGTAAACCGCGTGCGCGACATGACGTTGCGGAGGTGCTTGTCACTGAAGCACCCGATTCGTTCACTCGGCGTCACTGTTCACCGCTATCATCGACCACCGTCGGTTCACCTTACGTCCGCCGTCGGCAGCACACAAAACCTGGGTCGTATTTTGGGTTAAATGGACAAAATGCAGGCGAGCCAACGCTCCGTTCCCGGCTGATGGACGCGCGGCCATCCGGGATGACACATGGACATCATTCAATGCAGGTAAGGTTCTGTTGTCGGTTGGCTGTATGAATATAATAAATAAATAAATGAATAATAAATAAAATAATTGAAATAAATAAATAGAAGAAGTAATTATATATATATATTATTTACTATATATATATTTATGATAGATAGATAGACAGAGATGAATACGGAGATGGAGATAGAGAGAGGAGAGGAGAGAAAGAGAGATGGAGAGAGAGAGAGGAGACGTCCGCAAAGGGAGGGGCGAAAGAAATAGGGCGAGATTAAGAGATCAGAGAGAGGAGGGGGAAGAGAGAGGATGATAGATGAGAGGGAGATGATGAGGAGAGCGAGAAGAGAGCAGGAGAGAGCGCTGCTGCGTCGCGGCGCAAAGGGTGCGGCTGAAAGAAAGAGGGAGAGATAGAGTATTAAAGGGAAGAGGAGGGGAAAGAGAGAGAGAGAGATGGAGACGAGAGAGAGAGAGAAGAGAAAGATAAAAAGAGAGAGATTGAGAAGTTGCGGGAAGCAGTAATAAGATATTCTTCATGCATGATCTCTACTGAGACCGTGCTCGATACGTTCCTCATTAATAACATATTATGTGATTCTCGCAATATTCTTTTTTATAGATGGTTTAAAGAGACCACATATTCATATTCATACACACACAGTAGTCTTCTTGTATAGGGGCGATACACTGCATTGCCTCAGATACGTCTCTTGGTCAACGAGTATGCGTTAGCCTAGCGATGAACAGCGGACTGTCGCTTTACATTGTGCAAATATTACTTGTGCATGAGCCCTGAATGGTAGAAATAATTAATCTCGTTAAAACGAACTGGTCGTGCGGAATCGAAAATGATTTCACGAGGCGATGTTTTTTATATTAACTATTTCATTACTAACAGTGTGATTCCGATCGGTTTGTAATAGCGAAAATGAAATCTTTCTTGTTGCTCTTTTGTATAATACGGGGTTTTTTCGTTCGAACAGTTTTAGAATTTTACTTGTCCTCAATAGCCCCTCTCGTTTATCCCGTCGTTTATCGGATATTTCCACATATGTTTTTGCTCATCCGCGTTCTGCCTGCCGGCCGGCCTAATAACCCCCCCCCCCCCCCCCCCCCTGGTAACGTGCGTATGTATGTGTGTGATGCGCTGGGCGTGTGCGTTTGGTGCGTGCGCGTGCGTCCCGCTGGTGCGTTCCTGCGTGGTGTGTGCTCGCGTGCGTGCGTGCCTGCTGGCGTGTGTGACGTGTGTGTTGTGTGTGTGTGTGCGTTGATTGTGTTAGTTTTGTTTGTGTGTATGTGTGTATGTCCCCTGTGTGGTGTGCCGTATGTGTGTGTGTGTGGTGGTGTGTTGTGTGTGTGTGTGTGTGTGTGGTGTGTGTTGTTGTGTGTGTGGTGTGGCCGGGAAATACTCGGCCGAAGCCTGTGTGGTTTGCCTGTGTTGGGTGTGTGTGCGCTGGCGCGTGTGGTGGTGTGTGTGCTTGTGTGTGGCT